GCATTTTGTTTTATATAGATAAAATCGTTATTTAATATAATTTGATGCTATGTTCTACTATAAAGTAAGATTGTTTACTCCAAATATATTTTATTGTAATAATTGGAAAAAACGAAAAATATTAAATTTATTCAAAATTTGATAGACTATTTTATAAATTGAAATGTACAACTCTAAAAGAGAGTGAAAAATGATATTACTCCATATTTGAAAGAAAAAATGGATTTACACCATTTTGGAGTTGAATATGGAGTTGGGTTGGAGAGGATTTTACTCCAAAATGGCATTTGGAATATGATTTAGAATGCGGTTGGAGATGCCCTAACACACTTTTTAATACTGTAAGTAAAAATGTTTTTTAGAATTAAATAATAAACTGTTCATCCTATGTGTGTCTTTAACTATTTATTTGATGCAAGTTTTAGTAAAATGGTTTCTGTTAGTTAGTGTGGTTATATTGTCATTCACCAGATTCATCAATCAACATTATATATGTGCATGTGTGTTTGTGTTTTTTCTTTGGTTAAAAAATGTTATGTGTGTTGTGTGAATTATGTAGTTGTAAAATATTCCATTCATTTTCATTTCAACACAAAAAAAAATGTATATTTTTTTTTAAATATCGAAAAAGTGATCTGAATTTTTACAATCTGACAAATCTTTTAAAGAATAATGCAACCATCAAATAACACACTCACTAAATAACACAAATTTGACTTGCCAAATAAAATTAGTTGGATAATTTCACATGAAAGTTAATTTCTGGTTTAGATCAATAGAATAAATCCTACAAAATAACTCTTCTTCAAGTAGATCTCACTACCAGTTGGTTAATAGATATTATCCCTGCAGAATATGTCATGTATGTCATATTTCCTTTTAACGTTTCACATTTTCTTTTAAAATTACTATAATAAATATCCCAACTGTAAAATCTGCCTCTTATAGTAAGGACTAGGAACAAAAATGATATATTCATTTGTGTAACTAACGCATGTGTCGTGAAGAAAAAAAAATTGGGATAATTGTAAAAATGTCCGATATGTAACGAAAAATATTGAAAAATGAGAAATATTGAAAAATGTATATATTTATGTCAAAAAGAGAAGAAAAATGTTGACGTATGGCATCGATACCTTGTTGAACCAATAACGTGGCACATTGTGGAAGTCACAATTTTCATCTTTTTTGTCTGAGTTAAAACGATGATAATGTTCCAAAAGTATGCAAAGAAAGCTGGATCCCATTATTGGGAGGTTTAATAATTAAGTTACCTTTCTACCACTTGGGTTTCTTTATACTGACGAGA